AATCATTACCCTTCTTCCATCTGAGTTCCAGTTTCATTTAGTTTAAGGATTGCAGGTGTCTTTTAGATTTATTGCATCTTTTTTTCCTCTCCCTGTCTTTTTTTTCTTTTCTTTTCATGCTTATACATTTGAGGGAAGAAAGGGTTCGAAGGTAGAATATTTCATCCATAAACCTCACTACTCATTTAAATTAGTCCTAGCCTAGAGTTTTACCTGGACCTAGTATAATCTTAAAAAGACTGGTTGCCAGTATTGCTAACTGATAAGTGTAACTTATAAATAATAATTATAATAAAACATAATTTCCAGTAATTTAGAAAAATATTAGTCAATTTCTTATGTATTTATGTTTAGTTTCACAATGCTTGTGTTAAAAGTAAATATTCAATATTAAGTAAATCAAATACATAAATAAATGAATAAAGCAACTAAAATAATTGCTTCTATATATACGTATTGCACGGTACAAAGTTCTTATTTAGGTAATAAAAGAGTTTTTCACTTACCATATCCAGTTTTGATTGATTGCAATGACATATTCATGAATTTAATATCTAAGAAGAATATATATTCACTTCATGGTACAAAAGTTAATATCATTTATATTTATATATCAGGTTCAATTTTTGTTAGTGATGCTTTTTCTAATTTGTCTATGAAAATACTGTCACATAACATAATATTTAGAACCAGTGGACACTCTAGTCCATAAAGTTTGTGGACTAAACAAACTTTAGTTTGTTTATCTAGTGGATAAAGTTTCCATTTTATTTTCTTCTTTTAGGCAACTATGTTATTGCCAATAGAAATATCAAACTGTAAGCAAGAGAAAGTTTAGTTTTTGCCATCCATACAGATTTATATATTTTTACACTACCAATCATTAATGTTTATCAGTTGAGGTTCTCCAGAGAAACAGTATATATACTGTCATATTACATATACATAATTATATATTAATTTAATTTAAGGACTTGCCTTATGCAATTATGGGGCTAGTAAGTTCTACATCTGTAGGACAGACTGGATGGCTAGAAAGTCAAGCAGAAGCTGATGCTGCAGACTGGAGGCAGAATTTCTTCTTCTCAGGGAAACCTCCATTTTCGCTCCTAAGACCTTCAACTGATAGGATGAGGCTCTGCCGCATTATCGAGGGTAACATCCGTGACTTAAAGTCAACTGGTTTAGATGTAAACCACATCCACAGAATTCTTTCCCAGCTAGCCCTGGACTACTGCTGGCTTAAGTAACTATAGCTCAGTCAAGTTGACACATAAAACTAACCATCACCAACATCAGTAGAGAAAACATGCTGAAATGTATCATCCAGTACAATAAATGGCTATTCACTTTTCTTATCTTTTATAAACCAAGTGAAGATGTAAAAGAGCAGTATTACAAATACACCCATATCAAAAGCCAGTGTATTCATTTTAAATGACTTCATTTCTCAGTGAAGGTCATGATGATCTTTTTTTCTGCTACAAATGTTAGAGAGTAATCTAAAAGGCACTTTCTCTATTTCTAAATACAAACAGTAGTAGAACCAGAGGAGAGCCATCTAGAAAATGGAAATTCACAGAATAGCTTCTCTTAAGTTGTAATGAAACTAAATAAATGAAATAACATTCACAGAATAGTCATGAAGAAAACTGAGACCAAATGGGTGAACTATAGAGCAAATTTTAATTTAAAAGTCTAGAATAAGGCAAGCTCAGCGCTTCTAATAATCACCATACAGAGTATAACGTGATGCAAATGTAGACAAAACAATTCACTGAGTGATTGAGACCTGGAGCTGAAATTTATGAAAGCACATTTGAGGGACATAAATATAATTTTGGAAAGTAAATGACAAACAAATTAAACTTAGATAGTGAAAGTTTTCAACAAATATATCAATTATTTTTCTTGTTAAATAACAATATAGGCAGAACTAGAACTAGATATTGAGAGAAACTGCAGGGCTAGAATTTACAAACCTTGTTTAGAAAAAACACACCTTACCTTTCAGACATGAATAAAATTGTCTCAGTAGATTTCCAGCCTTGTCCTACAAATTCAGGTCCAGTTGCAAAGGATAGGTACTCAAATGCTGAGTAGATACAGGATATTCTGGAATTAAATACTAACTCTCCAAGGAAACTTGCATTGCCCAACATTACCCAACTTAAATGTAAATCTTTATTTTCTTTTTAAAAATAGGGTTTAGTAAGGTCCCCAAAATTTACATGTAGCAAAAAGATTTGTTGCAGTGGGAAATGCAGAAAAGCACCACATTATGATTAGCATTAGCCCCGACTGTAAAGGGACTTTTCCTGAAAGAATAGGCAGAAAGACAACGTTTATTGAAATGATTTAGCAGCATAAAGAGGAAACCAGTGTAGCTTTTTTAGAGAAAACAGAAAGGGTGTTTTTTTCACAAGAGTTCCCTTTGGATGTCCAGAAAACATATCCAAGCAAGAACAAAAAACTTGGGAAGTCTAAACTCAGGTTGCATGAGTATAAATTATTTTTACTTCAGATTAGTTTGAAACTGGGAAATTTGTAATAAACACCTCCAGGAATACCTCTAGAGCTTCCAGTTGCTGCCTTCTTATCTCTTTATCATTTCAAAATCCAGTTAACTTTTTTGGGTAATTTTCTAATGTAGTTTATGCTCTATAACTTGTTTTTTTGTTATTGTTGTTTTTGTTTTCTTGGGGGTGTTGATTGTGTAGTGGGAGGATTGCGTTCTCCAAATGTAAAAGAGCTTTCTTAGTCTATTCATTGGCCACAACAAAATGCCATAGACTGGGTGGCTCACAGAGAACAGAAATGTATTTCTTATAGTTCTGGGGGCTGGAAAGATCAAGATGCTGGCAGATTCGGTGTCTGGGGAGGGTCTACTTCCTGTTTCATAGACAGCCAGCTTCTCATTCTGTTCTCCCATGGGAGAAGGTTAAAGGAGTTCTCTGGGGTCTCTTTTTTTTTTTTTTATCCTCACCCGAAGATATTTTTCCATTTTTTGTACAGATAGAGTGGGAGGGAGAGAGAGGAAGGAAGAGAGAGAGAGAGAAACATCGACGTGAAGGGACACATCGAGTGGCTGCCACCCGCACGACCAACCAGGGCCGGGGACAAACTGCAACCGAAGTACGTGCCCTTAGCGGGAACCGAACCCGGGTCTCTCCAGACCGCAGGGCGATGCCCTAACCGCTGAGCCAAACTGGCCAGGGCTGGGGTCTCTTTTATAAGGCCAATAATCTCATGACCTACTCATCTCCCAAAGTTCTCACCTCCCAATACTGTCACTTTGGGGATTAGGTTTTACCATATGGATTTTAAGGGGACACAATAATATTCAGTCTGTGGCAAGTACTTACTGAGCAAGTCTCATTGAGAAGATGATAGTTAAACAGATTTGAAGCAGAGCAAAAGGAACTAGCCATAAGTATATCTGGCTAAAAGATGTAGCAAGCAGAGGAAACAGGCCATGCAAACAAAGTCCTGATTAAAAATGAGATAGTGAGGCAACAGTGAGCTAAAGGAAGGCAACCCAGTGGGAGATGAGATCCAAGTGATACCAAAGACCATGGAAAGGGTATTGACTCTTATTCTGAATGAAAAGGACTACCATTGTGTGCCTGTAAACAGAAGAGGGCATGATCAAGTCAACATTTTTTAAAAAGTCTTTGTCTGGCTGATACAGATTTAAGTGTAAGAAAATTGGAAGATATTGCAATAAACTAGGCAAGAGATAGTGTGGCTTAGATCAAGGTAGTCCTATGTAATGGATATTAGGTGTTAGAAAAAGAGAAAATGTAAGTATGTTTCTGAGCTCTCTGGGCTGAATAAGGAGAATGAAGTCCTCAATAACTGAGCTAAAAAAAAGCAACATATAGATTATGATTTGGTTGGGAAGGTCAGAATTTCAGTTTGAGCATGTTAATTTTGAGACAAGTAGAGATTCTTTGGGGAGTCATCAGCATCCAGATAGTACTTAAAGACATGAGAGTGTAAGATGACAGTGGGCGTGAGTGTAGACAGAGAAAGGAAGAGAACCAAGTCACATGAAAAGGTGTGAGGGGGTAGGATAAAGGGGGTGGTGTGAAGCGAGAAGAAACAAGAAAAAAACATTGAGAAGAATCATAAGTAAGGTAAGGAATAAGTGAGAAAAATATAACAAAGTAAAGCAAGTCAAATCTACTCTGGGAAGCTGCCAATGCAGCAAGTAGGATGAGATAGACTAGAATACTTTCAGTGGATTTGGTATAAAAGTATTGAAGACAAGCTAGGAATTCAAAACAATAAAATGTAATAGAGGTTAGAAAGCTTGGCCTGGAAGCTTTCTCTGATAGAAATAACGTTCTCCTAAGTTAGTAAGGCAATGCCTTGCCCTCAGTACCCTCTGCGTGCTGGGTTTGGGATCCAGCTCACATTAAGGTGCCTATGTTCTGATAGATCAATTTAGGACTTGGGCCTTATGTAGGAAGGGTCTTATTTGAAGTACCAAACTTGCTTCTAAGATAATATTACATATGCTGTCTGGACCTCATGAATAATGATAAAATAATATAATCAACCTTCTGGAGAAAAAAAAAACACACACATATACATTAACACACATGCATATATATTCATACATGTTCTGTGCGAAAAAAAATTATAAAGAAAAATGAGGGAATGATAAACACTACCCTCAGGGGTATTGTTATTCTTAGGTTGCAGTCGGGAGAATGTGATTCTGGTAAGGTTCATAGGGCTCCAAGGTAAAGGTTAATGTCTGTTTTATAAGCTGAGCAACAGGTTTATGAGTGTCAGTTTTACATATGATCTATTTCATTTTAAATTTTGAAAAAAAAAAAAAAAGCAAAGTCACATATAAGAATTGTTATATCATGAACATTTGAGTTTTTAAAAATTAAATGCATCTATGGCACCTGAAGAGCTTCTAATACCTCCTCACAGCAACATTTTGATATACAAAATGTCATACTCTTTTTTTTTTTTCCCCTCAGTCCAAAAGGACATAGTCCGTATCCTTCCCAGTTTAGATGTCGAAGTCAAAGACATTACTGACAGTTACGATGCCAACTGGTTTCTTCAGCTGTTATCTACACAAGATCTTTCTGCCATGACCAGCAAAGACTTCCCCATCGTGGCTGAAGTCATCGAAGCGCCTCAAGGCAACCAGCTACCCAGCAACCTTTTACAGCCTGGGAAAACCATTGTGATTCACAAAAAGTATCAGGCATCAAGGATCTTAGCTTCCGAAATTAGAAGCCATTTTCCCAAAAGACACTTTTTAATCCCCACCAGCTACAAAGGCAAATTCAAGAGGCGACCGCGGGAGTTCCCCACGGCTTACGACCTGGAGATAGCGAAGAGTGCAAAGGAACGACTCCACGTGGTGGCCACCAAGGCCTTCCATCCCCCTGAGGATGAGTTTTCACCTGTGTCCGTTGGGGACCAGTTTCTAGTGCATGCCTCAAAGACGACGGACATCCTCTGTGAGGGCAGCAGAACAGTGAGCGTTCTGGCCTGTGAAAAAATCCTCAAAAAATCCTACGAGGCAGCGCTGCTCCCTTTGTACATGGAAGGAGGCTTCGTGGAGGTGATTCATGACACCAAACAGTACCAGATCTCGGAGCTGTGTGCGCTGTTCCACCTGCCCTTCAATGTGAAGGTGTCCGTGAGAGACCTTTTCATTGAAGAAGATATCCTGGCTGCTACGCCGGGACTTCAGCTGGAGGAGGCTATCACGGACTCCTACCTCCTGGTCAGTGACCTGGCCAAGCCCACAGAATGCTGGGAAATTCCCCTCGGCCGCTTGAATATGACCGTTCAGTTAGTTAGCAATCTGCCCCAGGATGCAGGACCACTTCGAGTCAGGACTCTGATTGAAGAGATCACTGAGGAACAATATTACATGATGCGAAGATACGAAAGCTCCTTCTCGGACCCCCCGCCTCGCCCTCCCAAACATCCCTCAGTGGAAGAAGCAAAGCTACCTCTGCTACACTCAGCAGAAGAAGGGACGGTGGGTCTACCTAAGTCTCCCAAGGTAAGGCTCTGATTTTGCAGATTTTCCTCTTGAGTGTTTTTCTGGAGGCAATGTATTCCAAGTCTTTTAGTTTACTTTTTGCTTACTTTTCCCTCTTTCGTGCTGTATTTGAAATGAGCCTTTCTGGTGCACAGTAGATGAATGAACATCAACGGAGCATAAGCTGTTGTGGCATTTTGTATTTTGATGCTTAACTAGTAAATGTGACAAGAAGTTTATATTGAGTTAGAAATAGCAGGGATGACGTTTGGATATGGTGACCCAAATTGCCGTTTCAATGGGTTTTAGTAATTAGGAATGTTTTATAAGGTGCCTAAGAAGCAAATCTCTTTTATTTTCAAAGAACTGTTCATTTTTTTCTAGGTAGAGTTGTTTTAATACTTCATCCAGAATGTGAGTGTACAAAAAAAAGAAAAAAGTCTCTTTTTCTGGGGGGTTACCAGCAGCAAGCATCTATAACACATGTCTTCATTTTGTTTTAAGTGCAGAAAAATGTAAAAATATCTTGGCAGAACTATGTGTGAGCATATGAGCATCTGCCCACATTCTGCCTATCTGAGAATCGTAATCTTTAGCAGTTCTATTGAAAAACAAAATCAATAAAATCACAGACAGTATAAGATCATTACAGAATCAACTCTAAAGATTTTGGGAGAGGGGGTGTGGCAGCTTCATTTCTACTTGAAGTTTTTGTTTTTTGAAAACTGCTGGGCACCTGGAAAGCGCTCACCTTACACCACGAATCACAGGTCATTGGTCTGGCCAGCAGCGGGTCTGTGGCGTGTATGGAGCACATTCTGGCCTGGCAGATGTTTTGCCAGCAGCTTGGGGAAACAAAGCTACTAGTAAAACAAAGAAATGCTGTGTTTACTCTCTATACTCAGGAATGATAGTTGCCTCAGGCTTCAAGTATGTAGATTTGGAACTATTAATTCCACATTTCAAAGATTGCATTCTATTGTATGCTGGGGAAATTCAGTAAGGATCTTCAAACTCATCTTCAGAAGATAAAACCAACCAAAATTTTCTTTCCAGAAAAACAATTTTGAAGCAGCCATTGGGAATTAAACAACTGTTCCCAAATAATGTTGATTAACATGCTTCTGTTAATGTGGAGGGTATCTGGCATTTCTTGATAAATATATTTTTATTACTGTGTTGACTAATGTGAGAGATGGAATGATGGTTTGCTTTTTAATGGTAAGCAGAAGAATGCCTCCCAACCTCAAGGTGTCCATCCTTAAACATTAAAGACCTGTGAATATGTTGCATTGGATGGCAAAATAGACTTTGCACATGTGCTTAAAACTAAGAACCATAAAATGAGGAGATTGTCCTGGATTGTCCAGGTATGTCCAATTTACTCACAAGGATACTTAAAATGACTTTTCCTAGTTGAGGTCAGGATCAGAGATGTGACTACAGAAGAATCATTAGAGAAATGTAGCATTGCTGACTTTGAAGGTAAAGGAAAGGAGCATTGAGCCACGGAACGTACATGGTGTCTAGGAGCTAGAAAAGACAGAGAAACCTTCATCCCTAGAGCCTCCAGAGTGGAATTCAGCTATGCCAACACCTTGATTTTAGCCGATGAGACTCATGTCAGATTTCTGACTTATAGAATTCTAAGATAATGAAGTTGAATTGTTTAAGGCACGAAGTTCATATTATAGCAACAATACGAAGTCCTGTATTAACAAGACATAAAGTTGGGAGGAAGGTATAAGTAAAAAATTTTATTTTTCATTTATTTATTTTTTGGGTACGTGCCCCTAATGGGAACCGAATCCGGGAATCTCTGGTCCACAGGCCAACGCTCCAGCCGCTGAGCCAAACTGGCTAAGGCCCTAAGTAAAAAATTTTAGATAGAAAAACCTATATTTGAGTTTGAACTTTTGAGGTACAGCTAAGTTCCAGGGACAATGGGAAGCAGGATCTTGAACACAGCCAGAGTGGACTTCACTTTTCATCACAAATTGGTTTATTTTCACAGGCTAGTTTTACTCATATGAGGCACAATACTGCTGGTAGTTCCTGCATCTCATAGTTTCATCACTAAGAAAGAATGTAATTCTGATTTAAAAAGAGAAAGACTTTGGATAACATGTCTGTCTCCTTGTTCAATCAACTCCGTTGCTGCCCCTAAAACAGTCAAGATTGGTGGGGAAGGGAATGAGGCCTGGTTGTCTTACCTAACAGATACTGGAATAGCATATGAACATCTGGAGATACAAAAGAATGGATGTCTGTTACAATAAATAAAGAAAAGAATTAAAAATCCTAAACCACTAACAAGGCATTCATAGAGAGATACGTTAAATATTTATTAAATGCCTTTTGACAGAATAGCAGATGAAAATGATGTGTTTTATTAAGAGAGAAACTCATAAAACAACAACGTTATGGGTTCTATTAATTTGCTAGAGTGGCTCACAAGACTCAGGGAAATACATTTGCCATTTTGTTAAAGGATATAATAAAGACTGCAGATGAACAGTCAGATAAAGAGATACAGAAGGCAAGCTCTGGGAGCGTGCTGAGCTAGGAGTGTCTGTTCCCTGTCAAGTTGGGATGGGCCACTCTCCCGGTACATGGATGTTTTCCACCCAGAAGCTCTCCAACTCCCATACTTTGGGGATTTTGGGGGAGACTTCCACACATAGACATAATCAATTATTAACTTCATTTTAATCCCTCTTCCTTCTCTGGAGAATTGGAGGGGGCTGGGGATAAAAATACCAAGCCTCTAAATTATGGATTAGTCTTTCTGATGACCAGCTCTCATCCGAGAGCCATCTAGGACCCCACCAAGAGTCATCTCATTAGGACAAAAGATACTTCTATCACCCAGGAATTTCAAAGAATTTAGAAGCCCTGTGTCAGAAACCTGGGTCAAAGATGAAATATTAGAGCAAAAGATGCTCCTAAGGCTCTTTTTACTTAGGACATTATAAGAAACATTTCAGGAGCTTTGTACCAGGAACTGAGCGCAGAGACCAATATATATAATTTCTATTATCTCACAGCTAGTACAATAAGACTAAAGAAATCCTAGACTAAATATATACATGTAGGGATCCAGATCAACTTATTAATTCCTAATTTTTTCTTCACTGGTCAGACCCCACATGGATTCTTGTGTCTACTTCTGAGTCTCATTTCTAAAGAACATCGATTAACTGAAATTTTTAAAGATGTTAAGATGTTCAAAGGTCCAGGAGCTATTCTTATCTTAGGATCTACTGAGGGAATTGAATAATAGTCTAAACTTGAATGACTTGCATGAGATGATATTAGTGTTACACATTAAAGAGCTATTCTGGCCCGGCAGGTATGACTCAGTGGTTGAACGTTGACCCATGCACCAAGAGGTCGCCAGTTTGATTCCCAGTCAGGGTACATGTCCAGGTTGTGGGGGACATGCAGGAGGCAGCCAGTTGATGTTCTTTCTCTAAAAAATTTAAAAAAATAAAGAGCTACCTTATAGCAAAGAGTACATTCTTATTTTCATTACAACGTTGGTTGAGGACAATTTTGGTGTAATAGGTTGTAACAGATTTATTGTCTCCAAAAAAATTATAGCTTAAGCTAGGAAACCCTAGGTTCAATGATGTCAGGAGATTCCTGCTTGGTTGAAAGTTTATCAGTCATTTGAGAAGGCTGTATGCTTCTTTGTTTATAACCAGATTAATCAAATCTAGTGTAGTAGATAAAGAACTATATTTTCCCTGAAATCACTTCAAAATGTCAAGGGTACTACAATTTATCTGTGTTTAGACTGACCTCCTCATTTTCAACATTTTTTTTCTTACCATGAAGATAGAAATCTGCTTAGTGGAAAATTTTTGGAATATAAAGAAAGCTCTGTCCGTTTCTGCATAATCTACTTAAAAAGTCTTGTAACCAACTATTTCTCATTATCATAATGTCATCCTTCCATATATTTCTTTTATATTTCTTCTGATATCTACATTAAAGCTCCTTTATGTATGCTTTTGAAGTGATTGCATAGAACTTCTTTTTAATATTCTATAGGCAGGAAGCTGCCATAGAAAATAAACCTCTAAGAGTTTGGATTGTATTAGAATATTGCTTTAAATTCAGAGAAAAATTTGTGAGGGTTATTCAGAGTTTAAATATTCATGCTCACTTAACTCATTACCTTATTGCATATGCAGAGAAGAGTATAAGATGCTTCATTATATAAGTTTACTTTTGCCTTCCCAGTGGATCATTAACTTTACTAGTTCATTTCTTGCAATGTTAAATAATAGGGCAGATGTATGGGCTGTCAAAGAGTAAGAAACTAAATGGACTCAGTATTAGGCAAATTCACCTATATCAGGTACCTGTTGTCAGTTATAAAACCTACAAGTTTATCTAAGAAGTTTAGAAATAAAAACATATAAGGGCAAGTTATAAGAACTAAGATAAATAGAAATAATTGTTTTCCAAGGTAAGATTGTCAACTTTTCTCTAGTTTTAGCAATACCTAAATAAGAGAAAATCAATTGTCATAGGAATTTGAGAATTGTAATGTGAATATGAGCAGGGACAGGAGAGAGGGGGAGATGGATAGCAACAGAGATGACGGCACATCTCAAGGCCTATGAGGTTTTACACTGAAGGATCTTATTCTTGTTGTAAAAATATGACAATTAACTGGGAGAGTAATGTATGGGGTCTAAACAAAGGGATGAGTGTATACCAAATGATCCCTCAAAAAATTTTAGGCTTATGACAATGTACAAGTAGTATTTTTAAGATTTGTGCATTCTGATTCTTAATCAGATGAAAACAATATTATAAATGACTAAATAAATGAGGCTGGGCCAAAAATTGTATTCTAAATAGGAATCTTATGGGGTAGACTGTCCTTCTCTGAGAGTTAGCTTCTGTGTCAGATGTAGTTTCAGAGAGTGTGAAGAACATACTCACTGGAGTTTTTGCCTGTCATAGATATATATGGCTATGACTTCTGAGTGCCACACAGGAGAAAT